ATAAATATCATAGACTTAAAAATAGCATGAATCAATAAATGATAATAAGATAATGATCTATATCCTAACCTTAAAATTATTATTATTATACCTAACTGCCTTAATGTCGATAGAGCAATAGTTTTTTTAAAATCATTCTCAAAATTTGCTATAATTCCAGATATAAACATTGTTAAAATAGATAAAAAACTCAAAATTAATCTAATGCCCGTAGTTATCAAAAATTCATTAAATCGAATTATTAAATATACCCCGGCTGTTACTAATGTTGATGAATGTACTAAAGCAGAAACAGGAGTAGGGGCTGCTATTGCTATAGGTAATCACACAGAAAAAGGAATTTGAGCTCTTTTTGTAACAGCTGCTAATATTAGTATAAATATAATGCCTTTACCCCCAATATCTTTAAATAGTCTTAAATCTCACCTACCTATTATTATTATTATCCTTATTGCCATTAATATCCCAATATCCCCAATTCGGTTACACAAAACTGTTACTATTCCTGAATTATAAGAACTATAATTATGATAATATATAACTAAGCAATAAGATACTATCCCTAACCCATCCCATCCCAATAAAATCCTAATAACATTAGGTCTAATAACCATTAAAATTATTGATAAAATAAACAATAAAACTAAATAATTAAATCGATTTATATTTTTTTCATTCTCTATATAAATTATCCTATATAATATAATCATAGAAGAAATTAATAAAATTAATCTTACAAATGACAATGAAATTCAATCTAATAATATAATAACTTTAATATTAACAGAATTAAATTCAAAAATTATTCACTCTATAATAACCATTAAATCTAAATAATATAATACCAAACTTATAATACTTAATATAATAAATAATATATATATGTATATATAGAAAAAATAATGTATTAAAAATAATTTAAGATTCTTTTACTTTATACCTATAATTCCACAAATTATTATTCTATATTTTTTAAACTACCTAAATTTATACTATTTTCTAATACTTTATAAATAATCACCTCTATTCTATTCATTATCCTCCCTTCTTATCTTGTATTTATACTATAAATAATCCTAAATTTAATAATAATATTAATAAAGGAAAAAAATGTATTACTAAAACTATATATTCCTTTAACTCAGAATTATAAATTTTACCTTCATAATAAACATTTTTCCCATGATATACATAAGAAAATAAATATAATGAATATGCCCCTCTAAAAAAACAAATTAATATTAAATAACTCATCATGCTTATATCTCAATTTACGATTCTTATTAATATTATTATTTCTCCGGCAAAATTTAAAGATACAGGAAAAGAAAAGTTTACTACACAAAACATAAATCATCATATAATAATTGAAGGTAAATTTCTTACTATTCCCTTATTTAATATCAATAGCCGCCTACCTGATCGTTCATAATATAAATTCACTAAATAAAATATCCCAGATGAACATAATCCATGAGCAATTATTATTAAGTATATATACAGGGTGGGGAAAAAGTATGGAAGCAAACAATTATTTCCGAAACTATTCATTTTTCGACAAAATGTCTTAGACATAATTTTTATGGTATGAA